TGCTCAGTGGAGAGCCTGCTTCCTCCTCTCTCTCTCTGCCTGCCTCTCTGCCTACTTGCAATCTCTGTCTGTCAAATAAATAAAATCTTAAAAAAAAAAAAAACAACAAAACCCCCAAAACTTCAGTATTGAGGAGCCTGGGTAACTCAGTCAGTTAAGCAGCTCAGGTCTTGATCTCAGTGTTGTGAATTCAAGCCCCATGTTGGGCTCTATGCCTCCCCACCTCACCAAAAAGGTTTCAGTATTTAAAAGCTACTTGGAAGTTGATTATTCCTCTTCCCCTCCCCTCACCCACTCACCCCTGTATTACAGGTTCTCCAGAGAAAGAGAACTAATAGTATGTACACACATATATATAGGAAGAGATTTATTGTAAGGAATTGGCTCACATGATTATGGAACCTGCCAAGTTCAAAACTAGCAGGGTGGGCTGTTGGAAACCCAGCAAGGAGTTAATGTTGCAGCTAAATCCAAAGGCTGTCTGCCACAGAATTCCATGCTATTTGGCAGAGGTCGGTCTTTTGTTCTCTTCATATCTTCAGATGTTGGGATGAGGCCACCCCACATATGGAGGGCATTCTGCTTTACTCAGAGTCTACCAATTTAAATGTAAATATTACCCAAAAAATGCCCTCATAGAAACATCCAAAATAATGTTTGATCACATATCTGGGTACTGTGGCCTAGCCAACTTGACATAAAATTAACTCATACCCTCTCATTAAAAAAAAAAAAAAAAAAAAAAAAGAATCAAAGGGCACCTGGGTGGCTCAGTTGATTGGGGGACCAACTCTTGATTTTAGCTCAGGTCATGATCTTGGGGTTGTGGGACTGAACCCTGCATGGAGCTCCCTATCGGGTTCCAGGTTCCGCACTCAGTGGGGAGTCTGCTTGAGATTCTCTTTCTCCCTCTCCTTCTGCCCCCCCCACCCACTCTTGTGCTCACTCTCTCTCAAATTAATTAATTTTTAAAAAAAGTGAATCAAGTTGGGGGTGGGGAATAAAACTACCACTCATAAATGAACTTGTTGAGATTTAAGCAGTTTTCCAAGTACGAAGGAAAGAGAATTTCTTATTTATACATTCACTTAATTTTCAACTGGGAATATGATGAATCACTTTTATAGGTTTAATTCCTTTTGGAAATACTTCAAAAGACATGATGAATAAAATAAAAATGTCAAGGATTCCTTTATTACTCTTTTAAACAAAAGACAACTTTTACCCAGTTAATTAGGAAAAGGCACCTGAAAAATATCTCACAGAGGCTTTATTCTGGAAATTTATTTATACTTCCACTTTTTCTTTTCCACAGGTATTAGCTGATATATTACACCAGGAAAAAATAAAAATTTTAGAATCTCATCTTGAGTTGGCTAGGTCCTTTATACTCATTATTTTGGCCCTTGCATTTATTTAGAATTAATTTATCTATTTATTGATAATTGATACTTGAAGACTGTTCTGTCCATCAAAGAAATCTTACTGCTTTAGAGAATGGTAAGCTAGCAGTTTATATCCAGTGGGCATGGTGGAGAAAGTCATTCACTGGTTCCCCATCCCGTTTTGTTTCCTCTATCTGGAAGAGCTTCCTATTTGTTCACCCCTAATCTCTGGACAGAGCCCAAATGGAACCTTGTTGTAGTAATAAGGAAGAGCAACCACCTTCTCTGTCCAAATATTATTGTAGAATTTTGTTATTGAAATTCTTTAACTTCAGTTCTAACCTTCTTTTTTGATTTCCAGACCACTTCAATAATCTGAAGAAATTGCAGCCTTTCTTCCAGACAGGTGGACAGACAAAACTTATGAATCTATTAGTGTATAACTTTTTGCACGTTCGGGTTTTGTTATCATGTGTGTGTAATGCCTATTAAATAATAATAAATAATAATGAGGAGAGTTAGTGCTCATTTAGGATTTCTAGATAACCCATGGATAAATATATCATAGTGGCAGTCTTTCCTTTCATGTCATAGGTCACAGATAAAGGAGTAGGACCATAAGAATCTACCAATGAATACTAACCAAAGAAGAAATGCACCTAAACCTTCATATAAAGATTTTTTTTTTTAAAGATTTTATTTATTTATTTGTCAGAGAGAGAGAGAGGGAGAGAGAGCAAGCACAGGCAGACAGAATGGCAGGCAGAGGCAGAGGGAGAAGCAGGCTCCCTGCTGAGCAAGGAGCACGATGTGGGACTCGATCCCAGGACACTGGGATCATGACCTGAGCCGAAGGCAGCTGCTTAACCAACTGAGCCACCCAGGCGTCCCTAAAGATTTTCTTTATTGTAAAAATTAGCACATTTCAAAAATCTTTACAGTGTCAAAATTCTTTATATTGAGACAGAAACAAAAAGGCCCCCATAAAAAAAACCTTTTTTTTTTTTTTTTTTTTTTTGCTCCTTTTCCTGCTTATATTCTTGCTAGGATCTGAAATCCTGCCCTACACATGACTTAAAGTACCAATAATTGTATGTCCTCCTTGTAAATGTCAAGGAGTTAATGATTTTTTTGGCATCTTCCAGCACAATAGGTAACATCTAAGCAGTGACAAGTTGAGGTCATCTTGAATATTTTCCAAGACCACTGACTCCAGACACCTTGACGCCTAGATCCCTGGCTCCAGGGTGTAAGTGATTTATGGAGGACACCTGAGTATTTGCCCTTGTTTTGACCAGGCCCTAGATGCCTGACAGGGCATGTATACCTCACCACCATCCTCAGTAAAAACCCAGACCTCAAGCAAAGACGAAATGCATTTCCCTTTTCCTTTCTGAGTCTCCCAGATGCTCCATCTGTATCTGCTCTCTCTATATCTTCAGTGAACTCTGCTCTCACTTCCTCTGAGCTCAATTTGATTTCTTTCCTGCATGAAGCCAAGGATCCTGTTGGCTGGTCCTGTGGGATCCCCTCTGGGTCCTTAGACCTGGCCAGTCTGCATCATTAAGAGCTTTGTCATTTTAAAAGTTCAAAGTTATTATTACATTTACTTTTTAAAAATATAAGCTTTCATCCTAATTAGAAAACCTCCTGTGTTTTATCAAGATACATTGCACTATCCACAAATGTTGTTTTAGTTTCCCATCTCTTTGTGTTATCTAAACTTGTATATAATGCTCTCCTGAAACTGCTGTTAAAGGTTACCATCCACTATTAGAACAGTCTCCTTCCTGCCACTGTTCTACTCTTCAGTTCCTCCTCGTTATATGAGCCGTTTAACCTTTTTAAACACAAGTTTCATTCTGTCAACCCCTCATTCAAAAACACCAAATGAAAAGTAGTGGAATGAATGGTGAGAGGTAGGATGAGGCCAGATTGATTATGCTAGCGCTCAAAAGTTGAATTACAAGAGAAAAGTATTTGAGGAAAAGATTAACATGATAAAAGGTGTTTTACTTAGCTCTCACCTGTAGCCCTGCGCAGATGCTTTAGAGCTGCAGGATATAAGTCAGGGCAATCTGCTATTGCAGAGATCAGGTATACCTTGCTGATAGAAAGGAAAATTATTATGGAGCCTAGGCCTGACACCCCCCACCCTGTCCCCGCCCACCAAATGCTACTTTGTTGAGAGGTTCATAGTGTTGGTTAGTAGAATCCTATTTGATTTGAACTTGCAAAGTTCAATATATATACACAAGATGAGACAGTTTAGTTACAGTGTAGCAATTTGATTTTAGATGTACATGCTGTATCTTAAGCACAAGAGTTTCTGAAGTGTGATTTTAAAGGGTTGCTGGTTCACTTAGGATGTGGGACTGTGCCCAGGAACATCTGGCCACTCTTTTATGGATCCACAACTATGCTTAGTTGATTCCATAAAGGGAATACTTCCCTCTGGATTCTAGGTCAGATTAACCAGACAAAATTCTGGTTCTGCTATTGCTATAAACGTGCAGGAACCTGTTCTCCTTCCGTGCCCTCTGAGCTTCCAGGATCCCTCTCCCAGGTCATTATCCTTTTTTCCTCCCTGAGCTAGAGACTCCCCTCAATCCTTACCAGGTATTCCAGCAAACAAAGTTGGAGGTGGCATTCAAACTTGCTTTGTTCTTACACCTATGATATAAGATTGTGTTTCCTAAATAAGGGGTCTCTTGGTTAGATGAGAAAGATTCCTAGTCTTTTTTTTTTTTAAGATTTTATTTATTTGACAGACAGAGATCACAAGCAGGCAGAGAGGCAGGCAGAGAGAGAGAGGAGGAAGCAGGCTCCTTGCTGAGCAGAGAGCCCGATGCGGGGATCGATCCCAGGACCCTGAGATCATGACCTGAGCCGAAGGCAGCGGCTTAACCCACTGAGCCACCCAGGCGCCCAAGATTCCTGTCTTAATTACCTCTTCAGAACTAGGAAATTTGTCTTGAGAATAAAACAGTGGGAAATCGAGTGAAAAAAAGTTGTTGGGTGCTAGTCAGAGACAGACAAATATCAGATGATTTCACTCATACGTGGAATTTAAGAAACAAAACAGAGGAACATAGGGGAAGGGAAAAAAGAGGGAGGCAAATCGTAAGAGACTCTTAACTACAGAAAACAAACAGGTTTGATGGAGGGGAGGTGGGCAAGGGAATGTGTTAAATAGGTGATGGGTAGTAAGGTGGGCACTTGTGATGAGCACTGGGTGTTATATGTAAGTGATGAATCACTAAATTCTACACCTGAAACTCAGTTTTTTAAAAACATATTTATTTTTTTAGAGTGACAGCAGGAGGGAGGAGCAGAGGGAAAGAGAATCTCTAGCAGACTTCCCACTGAGCATGGAGGCCAATGCAGGGTTGGATCCCAAGTCCCCACAATCCCAAGATCATGACCTGAACCAAAATCAAGAGTCCCTCAGCCGACTGAGCCGGCCAGGCATCCCTATACCTGAAACTCATTTTACCATATGTGTTAACTAATTGAAATTTAAATAAACACTTGAAATAAAAAAAAAAAAAAAAGCGTTAAGGGCCCGGGGGGGGGGGGGGTGTAGTCACAGAGATCAGAGGAGAACCCAGAAAGGAGAGAACGTTCACAGGATCAAGAGCCTAGAAATCTAAAAGTGTTAGTTAGTGGATTTTACCAAACACAAATTGTCAGAGATTTGGTACATTGCTGTTTCAGAAAGAGGAGAGTTCAGAATAAAGGTTGCAAGTGGGAATGGAGGCATGTGTAACAGAGATTGGAAGTCCCCTTTGTACATTCTGTCCTGCTATGAGGTTAGTCTCTCATTTCCTATGAGAGCACCTTCATTACCACCTGACTCCACCTTGCAGCCTATGCTAATGTCTTTTCATCTACTTCTGAACTGTTTAGAGTCTACCCATCTACTAAGCCCTAGCTCAGTTTCATGTCCTCCTTCAAGTCTTCTTTGAAGATTGTTTCCATTTCTTTCTCCATTCGCTAAGATCTTGTGTTAATAGTTAAAATCATACTAGTTAGCAGGTAATAGTTAAAGCAAAAGTGTGAGCCCACTCCCCTCGAGTTAGGTAGTGTAATTCTTGAGTTTGGAGACTATACTCTAAAATTCTTTCGTATATTCCTTGCAAAAATTCCAGGTTCATACTTATTAGATATACCATCAGGTCTAAAGTTCTGTTAAATATTCAAGAACCACTTAAAAATACTGCACAAAACCTTCTATCCGGGAATGCGTAAAATTTTCAAGTGAAATATATCCATTTTGACTATTCCAACAAGATTGCCCAAGTCATTCCTATAGCAGAGTAGAAAACTTTGAATTGATTCAGAATTGTCAAAAGGGGCAGCCGCCATAGAGGCTTGTAGCAGAGAGCGCTGAAATTCGATCTGCATTAAATAGCGACATTATAATAATCTCAAAGGTAAAAGTGTTAAATTTCACAAACATCTAGAAAAGGGAGCAAAAGACCATCTAACAATAGTTGGCTTATCTGTCAGATCACGGTTCCTAAACACACTGCGGTTCAGATTCTAAACCTGAGTTTTACAGCATTAGACGCCGGCAGCCAATTGGGCCGTCTGGTTGCCGTGCATCCTGGGAGCTGTAGTTTCCGGCTCCCTCCTCCTGACTCCAAACTCCACCGAGCAGCTGGAGGACGGTTGCTTGGTATTATTAGCAAGCGGGAAGTATGGCGGTGGCGTGCGTCGACCCGGCTTTGCCTCCTGGAGAAGGTAAGGCGACACCCCCAACCATGAATCCCAAAGTTTACACCATGGAACTAAATTAAATAGTTACCTGGTCGAGAGAAGAAGCCTGGGTTTGGGGGTGCAGTTCTGTACAGGTTCTTTAGATGCGGGGCTGTGGGCGTCGCGAAGCCGCGCTGCCCTCTGGGAGTTGTAGTTCCGGGGTGCTGCCTAGCTCTGCGGCTTTGAGGAGAGGGCCGAGCTGCGGACTACATGCCCAGGGTCCTTCGCGCGGCCGGGTGCCTTAGCTCCCGCGCTTCTGAGGCTGCTTGGATGGTGGGTTTCGGACTGCGGTGACCTCTTTTGGATTTTTACTTTGAATTCTGGATGCCCAAGTGAAAATTCCCGGATTTCCATATGTCGCTTTACGCGTCTCCCTTATCCTCTGTGTTCCTATCCCATTCAGGAAACCCTTTTTCAAACATAGCTCTTAGACCGACGTTAAACCCTTTTTTGGAAGTGTTCCTTGGCAGTGATAAAATTCAGGGTGACCAAGAGCCCACAGATATCCACACTTTGTTCTGCAGACCAGGTTCTGGGATCGGGTTTGGTCGCTACCCAGCGGAGCGTGAGGTGTGGGTGCTTCTGTGGCCGGGAGTCGCCGGGCAGGAGCCGAGCTCCTTTGTTTTGGTTACAGCTCCGAGGCTCCGCAGCAGCCTTCAGGATCGGGGGCCGGGCTCAGGCTTAAGGCCTCTCTTCACAGTTTAGACCAGGGGGTCATTATCTGGGGGCCGTGACTAATTGGTGGGGGTGAGGAGCATCGATGGTTCTAAGAGGTCTGTCGACCCCGTGGAATTGTGTGCAAAGACTACATTTTCCTTGGACAGTACACAGCTTTCACCAAATTCTCAGGGACTCCTCATGACCAGCCCCAAATGCTGGAATCCATTAGACAATGAAAACACGTTGAAACCTTTCAGGAGAGCAGTCTCGCATAATTATTCCCCACAGCAATCTTAATCTATGTATAAACTTGAAATTGGCAGTTTCTGTGGCCCCACCCCTTTTTGATATCGGCTTCTCTTAAACTCCACCTCCTCAGCCCACCAAGAGAAACTGACTGATAATAATAGCAGTAAACCTTTTTTTTTTTTTTTTTTAAGATTTTATTTATTTGACAGAGAGATCACAAGTAGGCAGACAGGCAGGCAGAGAGAGAGAGAGCGAGAGAGGAGGAAGCAGGCTCCCTGTTGAGCAGAGAGCCCGACGGGGAGTGGGGACCTCCATCCGACGACCCTGAGATCATGACCCAAACTGAAGGCAGAGGCCTTAACCCACTGAGCCACCCAGGCGCCCCGAATAGCAGTAAACATTTACGGAACACTTTTTATATGAGCCAGACGATGTTCTGAGTGGTTTTTGTTTTGTTTTGTTTTGTTTTGTTTTACATGATCTCATTCTTTCTGTAGAACAACATTATAAGGCAGATATTATTATCACCCGCATCTTGTAGAGTGGAAAAGTGAGCCCCAAAGCGAACAATAACTTGCCCAAGATACCACAGTGCTTCATCGGAGAGCCAGGATTTGAACGTCTGTGAAACTAAATTAACTTAATTGATTGCTGTATGCCAGGAGCAGGGCTAAGTTTTATTCATGTGGTTTCTGTTTTCATCCCCACCTCAATTTAATTAATTAGGTATATTGTTCCCATTTTGTAGATAAATTAACTTAACTCTACATTGATTTTAAAAATAGTTTAGGCACTTTAGGATATACTAGTAGTTAGGTTGTAAGCAGGTTGATCTCTATCAAAAGATTAGTTCCATTTAAAAAAGACAAACGTTACTTAGCCACAAAATATGGAATAGTTCTTATTTATTTGCTTATTTGTTTATTTATTGAGAGAGAGAGTAGACATGGGGGGGGTTGGGGGAAGGGGCAGAGAGAAAGAGAGAGAATCTTAATGGTGGAGCTGACTGGGGGTTCCATCCCACCACCCTTAATTTATGATCTGAGCCAAAATCACGATTGGGTGCTTTGACGGACTGAACCCCCAGGCCCCAATAGTTAATATTTAAATGTGAAGAATTCCAGAGTATTATTATATCATAAAAACTTGAACAGAATATCACAAATTTCTGGGTATAATTTGATATTTCTGAGGGAAAGTAAACATTTTCAATCTGTGGTCATTTAGAATGCCTTAGTTTTTAAATCTTTTTTTTTTTTTTTTTTAAAGACTTTATTTATTTATTTGACAGACAGAGATCACACGTAGGCAGAGAGGCAGGCAGAGAGAGAGGGGGAAGCAGGCTCCCCGCTAAGCAGAGAGCCCAATGCGGGACTCGATCCCAGGACTCTGGGATCATGACCTGAGCCGAAGGCAGAGGCTTAACCCACTGAGCCACCCAGGCGCCCCTTAGTTTTTAAATCTTGATATTTATTATGCTCTAGTGTTTTCTAACGCTAAATATAGAGATTTTATGAATATAATTCTATTCCTATGCTCAGCTATTGTGTTTTCTAACAATTTCTCTTCTATTTTCAAGGATCAGTGGTCAACTGGTCAGGACAGGGGCTACAGAAATTAAGTCCAAACTTACCTTGTGAAGCTGATATTCATACTTTGATTCTGGATAAAAATCAGATTATTAAATTGGAAAATCTTGAGAAATGCCGACGATTAATACAGGTAGGTGTTGCCATCTGAAGAAATAGTTACACGTGTTTATTATTCTACAAAACAACAAAATAACCTAACAAAAAGTAACTTTGCAGTCCTAGAAAGCAGTAAATGTTACCGTAAATTTTTACATGACAGTTTTCCTTGAAGATGAACACATATGTGCCACATTTAAAATAGACTAGGAAAAGAAGTGTTAGAAAAACAAAACATTTTGTGTTGGCAAAACATTGTGTTGTTAGATAAGCTTTTACATCCTGGTGGAGGTGAAGAGTTCATTCATTCATTCTGTCAGCAAATGGCTATGGGGCTCCTCCCATATATCGGACCCTACTCAAGTAGTTGCTCTGTTAAAAATGTTTTGAACAGCTGGAGAGGGTCTGATTGCTCAGCTTTATGTGTATTTTCCATTGCTTAGGAACAACTTAGAACACTAACAATATCAAATAGTTAAACTATAGAGTATTTAGACAAAATATGTGAGAAGTTCAATATGAGTTTGTATATTTGGGAATGTTTGTTCATATAAACAAATCTTTTTAAAAAGTGAAAGTAATATGCATATTTTATTTCTAAGATAGTGGTATGTTTCGTTCTACAGTTGTCAGTGGCTAATAATCGTCTGGTGCGAATGATGGGTGTGGCCAAACTGACCCAACTCCGGGTGTTAAATTTGCCTCATAATAGCATTGGCTACGTGGAAGGGCTGAAGGACCTAGTACATTTGGAATGGCTGAATTTGGCAGGAAATAATCTGAAGGTGAATTGTTTCTTTTTTTCGTAGTTGCATTTTCTTTTTTTAATTTATAAAAATATTCACTGTAAAAAAAAATTCGCTATAAAAAAAATTCAAACAGTATAGAAATAAATAGAATAAGAAGTGAAAGTATCTACTCCCACTTCCCAGGGATAATTTTAGTTAACATAAACTGAAAAAAAGTTATTTTGAAACAAATATGCAGCATAATATTCTTTTATGACCAAAGAATCTATATTATACTTAGAAAAGTTGTCAAATAGTAAAATGAAATGTAGGGATACTATAGCATGCTGAGTTAAGCTCTAAGTAAATGTTTAATGGTATAGTAGAGAACATACTGTCTTAATAGTCAAGAGATCTGGATTCTAACCCTGCTTCCATCACTTAGTAACTCCGTATTTTTGTGTAATAAATATCTCCATGTCTTATCTTTTGATATGTTAGATAAGGGGACTCAGTTAAATGATACTAAGAGCTCGCTTGTTAATTTATGCTAGGTGCTGTTCTAGGCACCTTAACTATACTAACTCATTCAGTGTCATGGCAGGTTTGAAGTAGGTATAGTCGTTATGACTATTATGTAAATGCAAACTGAAATACAGAGAAGTAGAGTAACTTTCTTAAGGTCATATAGCCAGGAAGTTGCAGAGCCAGCATTTGAATCCGTGTAGTTTGACTTCCCTCTTAACTTGTAAACTCTGTACTACACCAGCTGTCATGGGTTATCACTAAGGTTTTTTCAAACTATAACTATCTGGGATGATATGATCCTCTCAAAGGGATAATGAAGGTAGAAGCTTGGTATATAACAACTTACCAAAATCTGTTATTACCACTTCTTCTTCCTTTTGCTAATCTCTGCTCATATCCTTCCAATAATAAGCAGAGGAGACAGGAGATTCAGCTATGAGGAACTAGGGAAGAATTTCATTTTTTGATTTTGTGTTCATGAACTAGTGTGATGCTTTTCTTGTGATAGGCCATGGAACAAATGAGTAGCTGTGCAGCTCTACAACACCTTGATTTATCAGACAATAACATACCCCAGATAGGTGATCTATCTAAATTGGTATCACTGAAGGTAAGTGTATCATTTCTGACATTTTCATATCATTTCTGACATTTTATCCTAATATACCAAAAGAAAGTGATCTGATTGGCCTAAAATCGGCCTACTCTGTATGAAGAACAGGTTGTATACATTATGATAAAATTTCTATTAGAGCACTAGAAATTAAGTATGCAATCCTTTATTTTTAGTTTCTATAATTTATTAATTTATTTTTATAATTGATTTATTTTAATTAAAACTGGTCATTGTAGTTAAGGTTAATTCTTATCTGTCATCCTATGAACATAAAGAAATCCCCTTTATGCCTAATCAGCCAATACTAATAGCTTTAGCTATATAATATGTAACATTTTGGTAAGATTGAGAGTAATCATTTGAGTCTGAATTTGATTCTTTTTTTTTGACACTTGAGAATCCTGTTTTTTGAGTAATAGGTATTACTACATTATCAAAAGTAACTTTGATTTAAAAAGTAAACCTGTAGCATATAGTACTTTTTATGGAGAGGAATTTATCATGCAGTCAAAATAAGTAACAGTTGCAATTACAGTTTCAAAAACATACAGGCTTTTTTCATATTTTTGGACCATTGGATATTATTAGCATCAGATAAACTCATTAAACCTTAGAAGCAGTATTATTAGAGCAACTTTGCCCACATTTTTAGCATAAATCATTTTTAGCAACAATTACTCTAAACAATTTGGTGTGCCCAGATAGAGGAAATTCAGATGAACTAAGGATTTTTTTTTTTTCTGGAATGATTATTTTATCAGAATCCTGGGTTTCAAAGCCTTCAGTTATTCTTCATTGTTGCTGACTTAATTTGAGTTAGCTTCATCTGCAAGTAGCATATTGTTCCTTCCTTAAGTTTTTAGTTTTCTAGAGAATGCAGTTATAAATTACAAGTTGTGGGTTACCTCTTTATCTTGGAAAATTTGCTTTATATCTGTTTTTTTTTTTTAAGCTTTTGTTTATTTATTTGACAGAAAGAAAGAGAGCACAAATAGGGGAAGCAGCAGACAGAGGGAGAGGGAGAGGGAGAAGCTGGCTTCCTGCTGAGCAGGGAACCTGATATGGGGCTTGATCCCAGGACCCTGGAATCATGACCTGAGCCGAAGGCAGATGCTTAATTGACTGAGCCACCTGGCGCCCCTATATGTGATTGTTTTAATGAATGTTTTCTTTCACTTTCCTTACCCTTTATTTTGATTGATTACTTTTTTTTAAGAGAGAGAGCCTGTGAGGAAGAGGGGGGAGAGGGAGAGAGAGACTCTTAAGCAGGCTCCACACCCAGTGCAGAGTCTGTCGTGGGGCTTGATCTCGCAACCCTAAGTTCATGACCTGAGCCGAAATCAAGAGTCAGACAGTTTACCATTTGAGCTATCCAAGTGCCCCTTGATTTTTTTTTTTTTTAAAGATTTTATTTTTAAGTAATCTCCACCCAACATGGGGCTAGAATTCACAACCCTGAAATCAAGAGTCACATGTTGTACTGACCGAGCCAGCCAAGCACCCCTATTTTGACTTTTTTTTTTTTTTTTTTAATTTATTTGACAGATAGATGACGAGTAGGCAGAGAGGCAGGCAGAGAGAGAGGAGGAGGCAGGCTCCCCGCTGAGCAGAGAGCCCGATGCGGGACTCGATCCCAGGACCCTGAGATCATGACCTGAGCTGAAGGCAGAGGCTTTAACCACTGAACCACCCAGGCGCCCCCCCTATTTTGACTTTTTAAAAAAAATTTTAGTAATTTATTTGACAGACACAGTGAGAGAGGGAACATAAGCTGGGGGAGTGGGAGAGAGAGAAGCAGGCTTCTGCTGAGCAGGGAGCCGATGCGGGACTCGATCCAGGACCCTGGGATCAGGTCCTGAGCCAAAGGCAGACGCCAGACGACTGAGCCACCCAGGCACCCCTATTTTGACTTTTTTAAAAAAGATTTTATTTATTTGTCAGAGGGAGAGAGAACACAAGCAGGAGGAACAGCAGAGGGAGAGGGAGAAAAGGCTCCCTGCTGAGCAGAGAGTCCAATGTGGGACTCAATCCCAGGACCCTGGGATCATGACCTGAGCCCAAGCCAGACCTTTAACCAACTGAGCCACCCAGGCAACTGCTATTTTAATGTTTTAAAAGGAAATGAACAATATGTTGGAAATTGCTCAAGTTTTAATAATTTAAATCTCAAAAAATGCTTGTTACCACACCAAGCATGTGTTCTTGGACAAATCTTTAAACTTTCTTGAGCTTAGAATGTGGACATGAATTGGATGATCTGATCCAACATGAGTTGGATCAGAATACCACCTAGGACCCTTGTAGCATTAATAGTTTTTGCTGTAAGTGAAGAAAAGTATAATAAAATAGGTTCCTTTATTTTTATCTGCATTATTTGGTTATGTCAAAGTAGATAAATAGTAATCTTTTCATTTGTAATTCATCCTGTTTTTACTTTCAAGACCCTGCTTTTACATGGAAACATCATCACCTCTCTTAGAATGGCACCTGCTTATCTACCCAGAAGTCTTGCTATACTTTCCTTGGCAGAAAATGAAATTCGGGACTTAAATGAGGTAAAATTTGAGGGTATTCTGTGGGATCCAGGAAGCTGCAAAGTACGGAAGAAACTCAGGAGAAAGTTGTGAGCTCACTTGTAAACTCAGCATCTTGGAAGACAGTGCCAAAAAGATGAAACACTTGACTCAAGATGATTGTTGTTTTTTCTTTCTACTTTTTCCTAATGTCAGTGGGTCATTAAGGCTCAATTTCCTTTGTAGTGCTGCAACTGTTACTCCATTTGGAACTGATCTGTGGTAGAGTTATATCTACATTAAAAGGATCAGAAAGGGATACTGTGCACCTTTCTCTGGCTGCTATTATGTTTTCAAAATAGGATTTTTTCTGTTAGGAAACAGTGCTGGTACTTTGTAAGGTATTTTGTGCTGCAACGACAGATGGCCATGTTGATGGAATTTTGGAAGTCGGTGGATAATGTTAAGAGTGTTATGTGTTGCCTTTCAGAACAAGAGGGAAATTGTTACATTCTCAAACTGCCAAAGATGTGTACTCAAAGCAAGCCCTGTGCTTAATACTAAATAGTCCATTTCATTCAACAAAGATATCCTTTATTCCAGATCTCTTTCTTGGCATCCTTAACTGAATTGGAACAGTTATCCATCATGAACAACCCTTGTGTGATGGCAACACCATCCATTCCAGGATTTGACTATCGGCCATACATTGTCAGCTGGTGCTTAAACCTCAGAGTCCTAGATGGTTACGTGATTTCTCAGAAGGAAAGGTGAATATGACCTCTTCAATGTCACATTTATGATGGAAAAGAAAAGACCATTTCTAGCTTACTACAGATTACTAAACTATTTCTTAAAATGTGCATTTAGAGGGGCGCCTGGGTGGCTCAGTGGGTTAAAGCCTCTGCCTTCGGCTCAGGTCATGATCCCAGGGTCCTGGGATCAAGCCCCGCATCGGGCTCTCTGCTCAGCAGGGAGCCTGCTTCCTCCTCTCTCTCTGCCTGCTTCTCTGCCTACTTGTGATCTCTCTCTGTCTGTCAAATAAATAAATAAAATCTTTTAAAAAAATGTGCATTTAGAAATTAAGATCATTAGTGCAATCATATAGCAAACTATATGCTTGTCATTTAGGATTTTCTGTCCTTTCTAAGAAAGGAAAAGAAATATCAGTCTGAGAGGTTCGGGCCAGTGAGTTTAACCTAATGCCCAACATACAACAATTTGATTTCTGAGAGTTCTTTTGTTTATTGGTTGTTTGTGGGGCTTAGAGCATTTTCTGTAGAAATTATATTATACTCGAGTGGAGGAGGGTGGGAGGGGTGGGGTGGCAGGGTGATGGACATTGGGGAGGGTATGTGCTATGGTAAGTGCTGTGAATTGTGTAAGACTGATGAATCACAGACCTGTACCCCTGAAACAAATAACATATTGTATGTTAATTAAAAAAATTATATTATGGATGCTGTCTAGGGTCTTAGATCAATCCCACAAAAGCTTCTAATCCATCTTATATATAAGGACAGTATTAGTAATACGACTTGGGGTGCCTCAGTTGCTTAGCTGGTTAAGCATCTGACTCTTGGTTTTTGGATCAGGTTATGATCTCAGGGTTGTGGGTTCAGGCCCCGTGTTGGGTTCTGCACTGAGCGTGGAGCCTGCTTGAGATTCTCTCCCTTTCCTTCTGCTTCCCTCTCTCTCTGTCTGCTTCTCTGCTTACTTGTGATCTCTGTCTGCCAAATAAATAAATAAATAAATAATCTGAAAAAAAAAATAAAACAATTCTGGAAGTATTCTAAGGGAGAGCTCTTGTTATTAAAATTCACTGCCTGAGCAGTGTTCAGAACATTTTCCTGGTCAACCTTGGAAATTCCTGAAGGATAGAAAGGAATTTCCAGTTTTTTGTTTCTACCCAGCCTGTTATTAGCAGGGAACATCCAGATTAAACATTTTCTTCATTATGACTAAGCCAGCCAGGCACCATGAAAAGTATCCTGGGTGCTTTGATGACTTCAGGTAGCCAGATTTTGAGTATGTGTGTCACTGGAAAGATAATTTGAGCAGTCACTCACCCTGTTGGTGCTATGGCTGAGTGCTATCTCAGATAGAGGCATACCTGTGGAAAGACCACACCCTTGTGTAGCACCTCAGTATTTGGAGTTCTTTCTGAATTTGTTTCCATCTCTGACTATTTCCAGGACTTAGGCCCAAGCTACACCTCTGTTGTTTAGTTGGAGATGAGAATTTAGGGAGCAGAACTTGGAAGATGTTTCTTTTTTGAAAGGATTTAAAAATACATACAGAAATGGAGAAGAGTACCATAATGAACACCTAAATACCCACCATGCCACTTCAACAATTACCAACTTAGCCAGTCTTGTTTCATGGATCCCCACATTTTTGGTTGGCTTTATTTATTTATTTATATATTTATTTATTTATATGTATTTTTAAGATTTATTTATTTGAGAGAGAGTGCAAGAGAGAACATGAGTAGAGGGGAGAGGCAGAGTGAGAGGGAGAAGGACACCTGCTGAGTAAGGAACCCGACATGGGGCTCAGTCCTCCATCCGAGGACACTGAGATCATGATTTGAGCCAAAGGCAGTTGCTTAACCAGCTGAGCCACCCAGGTGGCCCTGTTGGAGTATTTTTAAAGCAAATACCAGGTATCATTTCATCTAATACTCCTTTTTTTTTTTTTTTAAGATTTTATTTATTTATTTGACAGGAATCACAAGTAGGCAGAGAGGCGGGAAGAGAGAGAGGGGAAGCAGGCTTCCCCCTGAGCAGAGAGTCCTACTTGGGGCTTGATCCCAGGACCCTGAGATCGTGACCTGAGCCAAAGGCTGAGACTTATCCCCCTGAGCCACCCAGGTGCCCCATAATACTCTTTTTTTTTTTTTTTAAATGAGAAAGCAGATTATCTTGTTCTAGTTTTTAAAACTCAAACCTTTAAAAAAGATATTATTTATTTTAGTGAGAGATAGTGAGTGTGGGCAGGGAGTGGGGCAGGAGTGGGAGAGAGTCTCAAACCTTAGAGCCCAACGTAGGGCTTGATCTGAAGAACCTGAGATCATGACCTGCCCCAAAATCAAGTCAGATGCTTGACTGATTGAGCCACTCAGTTGCCCCAAGAACAGACTGTTTTAAATTTTCTCTCCTAATAGTTGTTACTTATGTTACGTTATGTAAATTTTTCCTTCAATTTCAAGAGAAGAATCATATTCCAGTGGTTTGAAATTAATATGTTAGAGCTGAATGAATTTTAATTTTTTCTTTGAATTATCAATGATGTTTTAATGGGCAAGGAGATTGTTTTATCCTAGGAGAATATTTTATGGATTAATAAACTTGTGTAATGTTATGTTTATTGATGAATGATAAGCAAAATCAGAGAAACAGATATTACAGTAGTTGATGCTCTGCAGATTGTGATTTTCCTCACACACTTAAAACTGAATATTCAAGTCAGAACTTTGTTCCTCTCCTTATTTTCGCTTTTCTTTCCTTCCCAACTACAAATGATCTATAACTTGGAAATTTTGCTTGCTGGCTAACATTAAAGTTGGTGATTATCCTTTACTCGCATGGACCTTTTTTGGGAACATTGTTCAACAAGCCATTTGCTTGGTAGGAGAACTTACAGAAATTTAGAGCAGATATCCACATTCTGAGTGGTTTTTTTTTTTTTTTTTTTAAGAGAGCATCAAAGCCAGTGAGTGCAGATAGGGGGAGGTGTACAGGGAGAGGGAGAGAGCAGGCTCCATGCCTAGTGCATAGCCTGACTCAGGGCTTGATCCCATGACCCTGAGCTGAAATCAAGGGTTGGATGCTTAACTGAGCCACCCAGGTGCCCTGATCTTTATTTAATACATAGACTCATTAGTGGAAGAAATACTTTGAATTACTTTTATTAGGTAGAATAAAATTTTTATCTTTAGACTAAGATTAGGATTCTGTGAGTTCAGTTAATCCGTTAGGCATACCTCATATCTCATTGTTAGAAAACAGCTTTTCCTTTCTTGTGGTGATGGCAAATCACAGAAAACTAATCTCATTTTATTTTATTTGCACCATGACTCTTTTGCATGATTTAACCAGTTATCAAAGGCCAGTTTCATTTCAGTCTATAATAGAACTTGGGTAGCTTGACAGTTTTGGACTGTATAGTTTGTATGATGTGGATACCTTAATATCAAGGTCCAAGTAAATGGTTGTGGATTGAAAGTGATTTCGAAACTATTTAATGCCAAGTTAATGCTATAACAATAAACCATACCAAAATGATCCAACCTCAACTTTAGGTTGAGGGGTAGATTTAAGAATGGTGAAAGTGAATGGGTGTCTGGGTGGCTCAGTGGGTTAAGCCTCTGCCTTCAGCTCAGGTCATGATCTCAGGGTCCTGGGCTAGAGCCCCGCATCAGGCTCTCTGCTGAGCAGGGAGCCTGCTTCCTCACCTCCTGCCTCCTGCTCTGCTGATTTGTGATCTCTCTTTCTCTCTCTGTCAAATAAATAAATAAAATCCTTAAAAAATTAAAAAAAAAAAGTGGTGAAATTGAAGCAATGGTATGTTAATTAAAAAAATTAAAATAAATATGTAAAAGTAAACAGTAGTATAATGACCTCCCATGAATCCATCATCCAACTTCAACAGTTGACAGCTCACGGCCAACCTTGTCGTCTATACCTTTATCCATTCCCTGTTCTCCTATATTATTTTCAAGCAAATCTCAAAGTACATGTAATTTCAACTGTGAATATTTCAGCATGTATCTCTAAAAGATGAAGGCTCTGGGGACACCTGGGTGGCTCAGATGGTTAAGCTTCTGCTTTCGGCTCAAGTCATGATACCAGGGTCCTGGGATTGAGTCCCGCATTGGGCTCCCTGCTCAGCGGGGAGCCTGCTTCTCCCTCTCCCTCTGCTGCTCCCCTTGCATGTGCTCTCTCTCTCTCTGTTAAATAAATAAATAAAATATTGGGGCGCCTGGGTGGCTTAGTGGGTTAGAGCCTCTGCCTTTGGCATAGGTCGTGATCCCAGGGTCCTGGGATTGAGCCCTGCATCGGGCTCTCTGCTGGGCAGGGAGCCTGCTTCCCCCCTAAAAAAAAAAACACAAAAAACAAAACAAAAACCTAAAAAATAAATAAATAAATAAATAAATAAAGGATAAAGGCTCTTAATGAAATAACTTCAATACTATTATCACATCTCAAAAATTTCACAATTCCTTAGTAATATCAGGTATTATTAGTTCAGTGCTTATGTTTCTAAAAGTCCTCATAAATGCAGTTTTTAAATGGTTTTTTTGGAAACAGGATCCAAATAAGACTCCCCATTGGATTTGGTTGATGTATCTTTTAAATTTTCTTGCTTTTTTAGTGACTTAAAACTTTGATTTGTTATTGAATGCTCCATGGGTTGGCCATGCGTATTCGGTGGTTCTCATGTGCTTGTGGTACGATCACACAGAGCTTGGCTGGGTGTCCAAGATGATGCTTTTAAATCTCTGTTAATTTATAGGTTTCTTCTCTTTCTTTTTTTTTTTTTTTAAAGATTTTATTTATTTATTTGACACACAGAGAGAGATCACAAGTAGGCAGAGAGGCAGGCAGAGAGAGAGGAAGAAGCAGGCTCCCTGCTGAGCAGAGAGCCCGATGTGGGGCTCGATCCCAGGACCCTGGGATCATGACCTGAGCCAAAGGCAGAGGCTTTAACCCACTGATCCACCTAGGCGCCCCTAGGTTTCTTCTCTTTCATTTTCTTTGCTTTCTTTTCTCTTTTTTGGTTGTTGTTGAAAAAAATGAGATTATATGTCCTGTAGAGTTTCCCACTGTACCTATTTTGCTGACTAAATCCCTGTGTCCCTTCTTATATTTCCTGTAAATTGGTCGGAGGATGTGGAGGTTTCATCAGATTTAGGCTTTTTAGTGGAGAGGACCACTTTTGGGTTCTGTCAAGAGACACACACACACACACACACACACACACACATATTCAGTGTTTGGTTGTCCTTCATGTTTTTAGTAGCTATTAATGATCAATGCCTAAAACTATTAATTCATTCACTGAGAGCTTCAAAATGGTGAGATTTTATTTTTTTAATTTTTAAATTTTTTAACTTAATTTTATTTTTTCAGTGTTCCAAGAGAAATGGTGAGATTTTAATCCATTCATTTTATTAGCTGGAATACCTCTATGGAGTAACTATTTGGTCCTTCCTGGTATGGATTGTATAGGAAAGATAGAATTATTGATATTGAATTCTTACTCTTTATTTAACCAGTTTTTAAAAGTAATGAGTTGATGGTTCACTAGCATCCTCTAGCTGTGACCAATTAGCTTTTTTTTTTTTTACTGTCCTTACGAATTAATGGATTTAAATGTAATTGATATATTTACGTACTTTAGTTTGATGGTGAATAGAGGGAATACTCATTGCTTCTTTGAAAATAATTTAAAGGGGTGCCTGGGTGGCTCAGTGGATTAAGCCGCTGCCTTCAGCTCAGGTCATGATCTCCGGGTCCTGGGATCGAGCCCCGCATCGGGCTCTCTGCTCAGCAGGGAGCCTGCTTCTCCCCACACTCTCTGCCTGACTCTCTGCCTACTTATGATCTCTCTCTCTGTCAAATAAATAAATAAAACCTATGAAAATAATTTAAAGATATTTGGAGCTGTGAGTGCAACTCTGTGGAAGTGCCCCTAAGCGAGAACAGAGATTTAAAACATTAGAAGAGTAAAGGGAGTGAATCAGAAGGAAAGATTAAGAAAAAAAAAAAACAAACTTAACTGAATTTTATTTATGAAAATCATCCAGTGATGCTGTAAGTTAAGAAGGAAGATCATTGTTGCTTCAAAATGTATCTATGCTGGTGTCATATCATCTATTGTTTGTTCCCCACTTCCAGTTTGAAAGCTGAATGGCTCTACAGTCAAGGCAAGGGGAGAGCATATCGGCCAGGCCAGCATATCCAGCTTGTGCAGTATCTGGCTACTGTCTGTCCTCTAACTTCCACACTGGGTCTTCAAACTGCAGAGGATGCCAAACTAGAGAAGATTCTGAGCAAACAGAGGTAAGCCCCTTTATTTGTAGCACCTGATAATTCACAAGTAGAAATATCTCTCAGTCTTTTCTGCATGGTTAGTAGGACTGGGGCAAGTGCTGTGACCCACATTTCTGGGCACTCAAGCTCCTTGTCACTGCAGCAGTCATGCAGGGGAACTAAACTGTGCAGTGCCGTCCAGCCTGCTTTACAGCAGGTGCGTTGTTAGTCATTTCCTGAGTGGGGAGAGCTGAGCAGTGTGGAGACTGGGGTTTTTTTAAAATATATTTGTCCTTTAACATAGTTGTTTCATATGGGTTCTTTAATACTAACATTAAGAAGTGAAGCTAGAAGCGTGTACTAGTCACTTCTTTATCAGAGAGTCTGCCTTTGAGTGTTTGTGCATGTGTGTGACTATGAGGCTGTCTATGTGATTGTGATTTAACCTTTTTATCCAATACTTTCAAACTTGACTTTGTAATTTGGTGGTGATAAAAGATACCTACTTTGAAAACTTAAATCTCTACCTCTTTGACAGGATTATGTAAGAAGCAGGAAAACTTTCTTTTTGTGGTTTGTGTTAAGTCACATCAGATGTTACTAATTTTTAGGTTTCACCAGAGACAATTGATGAACCAAAGCCAAAGTGAAGAGCTAGCCTCTCTTGCTCCTGTTGAAACAAAAGCACCCCTTGTACCTGAGCATTCAAGCCCTGTTCAAGATGGCCAGATAGTCCAGGAAAGCGGTATGAAATTGATCGATCTATGGTCCTTTTTCTCCAAGTTGTTCCATCTGTTCAGTACCATAAAAGGGAAATAAATACATATTTTCATAATTTTTCGTTTGTTGACTTAAGTGAACATTTAGGTCTTATATTTTATGTATGTATATATACAGACACACATGTAAAATTACTATATTTTAAAGTGTTAATTTTTATTATTTTTGTCACAATAATTTTTTTTTTGAGATTAAAAAAAATTAACATATAATGTATTATTAGCCCCAGGGGTACAGGTCTGTGAATCGCCAGGTTTACATACTTCATAGCACATACCTTCCCCAATGTCCATAACTCTACCACTCTCTCCCTACCCCCCTCCCCCCGGCAACCCTCAGTTTGTTTTGTGAGATTAAGAGTCTCTTATGGTTTGTCTCCCTCCTGATCCCATCTTGTTTCATTTATTCTTTTCCTACCTCCCAAACTCCCCACGTTGCCTCTTCCTCATATCAGGGAGATCATATGATAATTGTCTTTCTCTGATTGACTTATTTCACTAAGCATAATACCCTGTAGTTCCATTCGCGTCATCATTTTTTTTGGATGGCTGCATAGTATTCCATTGTATATATATTACCACATCTTCTTTATCCATTCATCTGTTGATGGACATTTAGGTTCTTTCCATAGTTTGGCTATTGCGGACATCGTTGCTATAAACATTCGGGTGCACGTGCCCGTTTGGATCACTACATTTGTATCTTTAGGGTAAATACCCAGTAGTGCAATTGCTGGGTCCTAGGGTAGCTCTATTTTCAACTTTTTGAGGAACCACCATGCTGTTTTCCAGAGTCGTTGCACCAGCTTGCATTCCCACCAAGAGTGTAGGAGGGTTCCCCTTTCTCCGCATCCTTGCCAGCATCTGTCGTTTCCTGACTTGTTAATTTAGCCATTCTAACTGGTGTGAGGTAGTATCTTATTATGGTTTTGATTTGTATTTCCCTGATGCCGAGTGATGTGGAGCACTTTTTCATGTGTCTGTTGGCCATTTGGATGTCTTCTTTGCAGAAATGTCTGTTCATGTCCTCTGCCCATTTCTTGATTGGATTATTTGTTCTTTGGGTGTTGAGTTTGATAAGCTCTTTATAGATTTTGGATGCTAGCTCTTTATCTGATATGTCATTTGCAAATACCTTCTCCCATTCTGTCAGTTGTCTTTTGGTTTTGTTAACTGTTTCCTTTGCTGTGCAAAAGCTTCTGATCTTGACAAAGTCCCAATAGTTCATTTTTGCCCTTGCTTCCCTTGCCTTTGGCGATATTCCTAGAAAGAAGTTACTGCGGCTGAGGTCGAAGAGGCTGCTACCTGTGTTCTCCTCAAGGATTTTGATGGATTCCTTTCTCACATTGAGGTCCTTCATCCATTTTGAGTCTATTTTTGTGTGTGGTGTAAGGAAATGGTCCAGTTTCATTTTTCTGCTTGTGGCTGTCCAATTTTTCCAACATCATTTGTTGAAGAGACTGTCTTTTTTCCATTGGACATTCTTTCCTGCTTTGTCGAAGATTAGTTGACCATAGAGGTGAGGGTCTATTTCTAGGCTCTCTGTTCTGTTCCATCGATCTATGTGTCTGTTTTTGTGCCAGTACCATAGTGTCTTGATGACTCCTTTGTAATAGAGCTTAGAGTCTGGAATTGTGATGCCCCCAACTTTGGCTTTCTTTTTCAATATTCCTCTAGTTATTTGAGGTCTTTTCTGGTCCCATACAAATTTTAGGGTAATTTGTTCCACTTCTTGGAAAAAAAATGGATGGGATTTTGATAGGGATTGCATTAAATGTGTAGATTGCTTTAGGTAGCATAGACATTTTCACAATATTTGTTCTTCCAATCCATGAGCATGGAATATTTTTCCATTTCTTTGTGTCTTCCTCAATTTCTTTCATGAGTACTTTATAGTTTTCTGAGTACAGATTCTTTGCCTCTTTGGTTAGATTTATTCTTACGTATATTATGGTTTTGGGTGCACTTGTCAATGGGATTGACTCCTTAATTTCTTTTTCTTCTGTCTTGTTGTTGGTGTAAAGAAATGCAACTGAGTTCTGTGCATTGATTTTACATCCTGACACTTTACTGAATTCCTGTACATTCTAGCAGATTTAGAGTGGAGTCTTTACGGTTTTCCACATAGAGTCTCATATCATCTGCAAAGAGTGATAGTTTGACTTCTTCTTTGCCAGTTTGGATGCCTTTAATTTCTTTTTGTTGTCTGATTGCTGAGGCTAGGACTTCTAATACTATGTTGAATAGCAGTGGTGATAATGGACATCCCTGCCATGTGCCTGACCTTAGCGGAAAAGCTCTTAGTTTTTCTCCATTGAGAATGATACTCATGGTGGGTTTTTCATAGATGGCTTTGATGATATTGAGGTGTGTACCCTCTATCCCTACACTTTGAAGAGTTTTGATCAGGAAAGGATGCTGTACTTTGTCAAATGCTTTTTCAAGAAAATCACACTGGGAAGACGAGGTAAAGGAAAGAAAATGGGGAGGAGCATCCAGGAGCCGCCAGTACTGCCTCAGGACGGAGGGCCACACCTCGGGCTCACCCACGCTCACCCACAGCCCAGGGCCAAAGCATTCCGTAGGCCTGACCTTTCCCCAACACCCAATAATAATTATTTTTTTAAGTTTTTTATTTTAATTCCAATATAGTTAATATACAGAGTTATATTAGTTTCAGATGTATAATATAGTGATTAAACAGTTCCATACATTGCTCAATGTCCATCTTGATAAGTACCCTTCTTAATTCCATCATCTAGTTCACCCATCCCTCCATCTACCTCTCCTCTGGTAACCGTCAGTTTGTTTTCTGTGGTTGAGTCTGTTTCTTGGTTTGTCTCTTTCTCTTTTTTCCTTTGCTCATCTGTTTTTTTATTAAATTCCACCTATGAGTGGTATGTGGTATTTGTCTTTCTCTGACTAACTTATTTCACTTAGCAGTGTACTCTCTAGATCCATCCGTGTTGTTGCAGATGGCAAAATTTCATTCCTAATGATGGTTGAATATTAATCCATTGTGTGTGTGTGTGTGTGTGTGTGTGTATAAATATCTCACATCTTCTTTATCCATTTATCTATTGATGGACACTTGGGCTGCTTCCATAATTTGGCAATTGTAAATAATGCTGCAGTAAACAGAGGGGTGCATGTATCCTTTTGAATTAGTGTTTTTGTATTTTTTGGGTAAATATCTAGTAGTGCGATTACTGGATCGTAGGGTAGTTCTGTTTTTAACTTTTTGAGAAACCTCTATCCTGTTTTCCACAGTGGCTGCACCAGTTTGCATCCCTGCCAACGGTGCACAAGGGTTCCTTTTTCGCCGCATCCTTGCCATCAGTTGTTGTTTCTTGTGTTTCTGATTTTAGCCATTCTGACAGGTGTGAGGTGATATCTCATTGTAGTTTTGATTTACATTTCCCTGATGGTGGGTGATGTTGAGCATCTTTCCATGCGTCTTGTTGGCCATCTGTGTTGTCTTCTTTGGAGAAATGTCTGTTCATGTCTTCTGATTTTTGATCGGCTTATTTGTTTTTTGGGTGTTGAGTTATATCAATTCTTTAAATGTTTTGGATACTAACCCTTTATTAGATATGTCATTTGTAAATATCTTTTCCTATGCCTTTCCATTTTGTTGATTGTTTCCTTCACTGTGCTTTATTTCTAATGTTTAAAAAATATTCAGAGAGTTGCTGCCTTTTGTATTGACTTGATACTTTGATATTCTAATGATTATTGCAAGAATTCATTTTCTTAAAAGTCTTTGGTTTGGGGGTGCCTGGGTGGCTCAGTGGGTTAAGCCTCTGCCTTTGGCTCAGGTCTTGGTCTTAGGGTCCTGGGATCGAGCCCTGCATCGGGCTCTCTGCTCAGCAGGGAGCCTGCTTCCCCCCTCTCTCTGCCTGCCTCGCTGCCTACTTGTGATCTCTCTCTCTCTGTCAAATAAATAAGTAAAGATCTTTAAAAAAGAAAAAAAAGAATTGATATAATTAAAAACAAAAGTCTTTTGTTTGATGTTTTAGGCATATTGGAGGAAATCACCAAAGCATTTAATCATATTGTACTATATTTCAGGGGTTAGATTTCATTACAAAGATACAACTAAAAATCTTTTTAAATATTTAGTGGTTTCAATGATACTTTGTTGATTCTTCTAGAACCTGTCATCCAAGTCAATTCTTGGGTTGGGATTAACAGTAACGATGATCAATTATATGCTGTTAAGAATAACTTTCCAGCCTCTGTGCACACTACAAGATATTCTCGAAATGACCTGCATTTGGAAGACATACAGACAGATGAGGACAAGTTAAACTGTAGTCTTCTCTCTTCAGAGTCCACTTTTATGCCAGTTGCTTCAGGACTCTCTCCAGTATCACCTACAGTTGAGCTGAGGCTACAAGGCATTAACTTGGGCCTAGAAGATGATGGTATTGCAGATGAATCTGTGAAAGGGCTGGAAAACCAGGACTTTGATAAGGAAGAGGAAAAGGCGTTTTGGACTACAAATGAGAATTCTGTTCAAATGAAGGAAAGTGTCATCACTGCAGAGGTAAATGAGAAAGATGGGCTCTTACCTTGTCTGGAGCCAACAGTAACTGGTGCTGTCTTGAAGGATGACGCCTTTGGTGGTCTTACATCTTTTCCTGAGTCAGTTGGACACAGTGTCTTCCATACACAGCCAGGCAGTGGAGAAACTGTAGCTTCAGAGAAACTTCCCTGTGGGGTTTTAACCCAGAGATCTGTTGCTTTGGGACAAGATAAAGTTGCCCTTCAGAAATTAAATGAAGCAGCCACGAAACTTCAGGCCTATTGGCGGGGTTTTTATGCCAGGAACTACAACCTCCAAGCTAAAGATGTGCGTCATGAAATTCGGCTGCGCAGAATGCAGGAACACATTGTTTGCTTAACTGATGAAATAAGGAGGTAAGTCAAAATTTCTTGTTTAGGTGCTGTATTGATTTGGGAGTGTCAGAGTCTTAGAGTTGATTCAGAACACTGAGCCATTGCTGTTGTGGTCAGGACACTTCATACCCTCTTGCCACTCTTGGTTTCCTTGTCTCCTATAACATACTGAAAGCATCTTGAGGACAGGAACTGCCGTATGTATCTCCATTGCTAGCATGGCTGTTGGTACATTGATGCAGTGCAGCAATAAATGTTGAACAATGGTTTGTCTTATAGGTATTTATAAACCTAAACATAGAAAGGTACAGAAGATGAGGAAAAATGAAATAAGCATAGGAATGAGAAGATGAGAAAGTCTACATGGAACCCACTAGATGATACAGAATTAAAGAAAGGAGTGGGGACTTAAAAGGGACTAAAAGTTTGGGACAATGGTAGGAATTATTCCTCACTTCTGTGACTGACATTACTGACTGCCAACCAGGAAAATTAGGAGTTCATATATTTATTTTGAGTATTAGTTTTGCAACAAGCAATATTTATTAATATTATCAAGTGGAAGGGGAGGAAGCAGTAAAAGAGACTGGGAAGGGGCAGCCAGTGTTATAGGAAGACAGGGTGTGTGTCAAAACTTTGATAGGGAAATGTTTTAGGAGAGAAGAGAGGTGCCATAGGGAGAACAGAGGATTATATGTTTAATTTAGAAGCTGGAGGTTATTGGTGACTGTACGGGGGGACCCTGGGACTATTCTCAGGTTTGATGATTTGCTAAATGGACTCACAAAACTCGGGGAAGCCATTCTGTTAATGACTATGGTGTGTTCAAATGAAAGGATACAGATTAAAATCAGCAAAGAAAAAAGGGGCATAGGACAGAGTCTAGGAGAGCAGGTATAAGCTTCTTGTCTTCTTCTAGTGGAGTTGTATAGATAGGACTGAGTCTCTTGGCACTGATGTGTGACAACACATACGAAATATTGCCAACCAGGGAAACTCACTGAAGCCCTGACTACAGGGTTTTTATTGGGTGTGTCTTGTAGGCATTGAGTGCCTGTGTGACTAACCTTAACTACTTACACATTAGCTCCTACCCAAGGTCAGACTGATACCATGTCTCTATCAGGACTGTAGGTGAACAAAACAGGTATTCATTCACCTGAAAGCACACTGTTAGCCTAAATATCTGGTTTGGACGCAAACCCCACATATATACAGATATTCTTATCAAGCAGGATATTCCAAGGACTTGGACATTATCTCCCCACCAGTCCTTTCTTTGGAATGTGTGGGGTTAGAACACCCCAAGTCTGCTGAGTTAACCCTTTCTTGCCTAGTGAATTTCCTAAGAGCGGCTTCAGTATGTAGTGGAATCAGGCAGTTTGGAATGGGTTGAATTGTGAATGAGAGGTAAAGAGTGAGTGTAGCCAGTTCCTTTATGGGGGATCCCATTTGAGGTATGTTGCTGGAATAGAATCTGGAGTTAAGGAAAATTCTTCTTTAAAGATGGGATATATAGAGCATGTTTATGTGTTGATAGAATGATTCAAAAAAGAGGGAAAATCTGATAGTGCAGTGGAAAGAAAGGAGAAATGCAAGTTTGAAGTTCTTGAGAAGGTGAAAGAAGGGATCCAGTGCACAAGGAGAGGGAGTGGCCTGAGGTAGGTGCAGGAGCAGAAGCAGGTAAGATGGTAGGTTTGATGGGGTGGGAGGGAAGCAGAAGTTCTTTTTTTTTTTAAGATAGTGCTTTTTAAAAATTTAATTTCTTTTCAGTGTAACAGAATTCATTGTTTGTGCACCACACCCAGTGCTCCATGCAATATGTGCCCTCCATAATACCCACCACCAGGCTCCCCCAACCTCCCACCCCCCACCCCTTCCTAACCTTCAGGTTGTTTTTCAGAGTCCATAGTCTCTCATGATTCATCTCCCCCTCCAATTTCCCTCAACTCCCTTCTCCTCTCCATCTCCCCATGTCCTCAATGTTATTTCTTATGCTCCACAAATAAGTGAAACCATATGATAATTGACTCTCTCTGCTTGACTTATTTCACTCAGCATAATCTCTTCCAGTCCTGTCCATGTTGATACAAAAGTTGGGTATTCATCCTTTCTGATGGAGGCATAATACTCCATAGTGTATATGGACCACATCTTCCTTATCCATTCGTCCGTTGAAGGGCATCTTGGTTCTTTCCACAGTTTGGCGACCGTGGCCATTGCTGCTATGAACATTGGGGTACAGATGGCCCTTCTTTTCACTACATCTGTATCTTTGGGGTAAATACCCAGTAATGGGAAGCAGAAGTTCTGTTTTATGAATGCTTCTCTTTTTTCAGTGATACAGAAGACATGGTCAACATTTGAAAATAAGAAGGTTGAGGGTGTAGAAGATTTAAGAAAAGAGATGTGAAGTGTGAAGTATTCATCTTAAAAGTGAACTTAAAAGGAAAATGGAGGATTATTACTGTGAGGAAGAACTTAAAATGCAAAACAATAGGTCAGGCTGTATGAGTTTCATTAGCAATTTTCAGGTGTTCTATTCTGATTTGGGCATGGTTAATTTTGTTCTGCCAGGAATGGTTTTTTCCCACGTGAATATGGTAGAGGAGAGAGGGAAGGGCAAAGGAGCCGAAGATATTTGGGAGGGAATCATTATAATAGTGGATCTTGGAATTTAAAGAAGGTAAAAGGAGACACAGGAGGAGGCGGGGATCATTAGTTTGGAGGTCTGGATGAAGGCTGGATGTCTAGATTGTTGCATGGGGGGGCGGTGCAAGAGCCAGTGAACTGGGAAGATGGGGTTAGTGGTTTGTGTGGGTGCTTGAAATCATTTTTGAAAATGGTGCAGTCAAAAATGATTGGGTCTAGGGCGTCTGGGTAGCTCAGTGGGTTAAATCCTCTGCTTTCGGCTCAGGTCATGATCCCAGGGTCCTGGGATCGAGCCCCACATCTGGCTCTCTGCTCAGCATCCCTGCTTCCCTCCTCTCTCTGTCTGCCTACCTCTCTGTCTGCTTGTGAGCTCTCTCTGTCAAATAAATAAAATCTTTAAAAAAAAAGAAAAAATTTTAAATAAAAAAAAAATGATTGGGTCTAGAGAGAGACTTTGAGGATGAATGATGTAGGGTGGATTACTGTTAGAGAGAGCATCCATGTGAATACTGAGATCTCCAGAAATGATGATAGGTATGATGTGGAAAGAAACTGGTGCTGAGATTTCAGTGATTGCAGGCAGATTCTGAGAGGCTAGTACTTGAAAAAGAGTGGAGAAATTTAGCTGGATGGCAGGAGTTCTTCAAGGAGGAGGGCAAAAGAACAGTTGTTGACAGTAGAAGCAATCTTGTGACCCTGATGTTTGAATGAAAAAAATAGCTTCCACTATTTTTTTTTCTCCAGTAGGCTCCATGCTCAACATGGGCTTGAACTCGCTACCCTGAGATCAAGAGTCACATGCTTTACCAACCGAGCTAGCCAGGTGTCCCAGAATAGCTTCCACTTGAGAGGGCTACAGTGTCATCAGCAGTAGGTCTGATTTGGTCAAAGAAGATTTCACAGTAGAGGTTGAGACAATAAGGGAGTTTGCCAGTTATAAATCTGAGGTCCCAGATGGCACAGGAGAAGAGCTTGGGGGTCTGGAGAAACTTGGGAATTGGGTTAGAAGTAGAACAAAATGGTGGTGACATTGTGGACGATAACAGAGAACTAAGGGAGCCTTGGGTTGGTGACAGGCCTAAGTATGGAGAGGGCAGCAGTGAGCCCAGATGAATATTTAATGAATAAGGGGAAGTGATGGATGGGGAGGTCCTCTGATGATAGCAAGGAATATGTCAGGGACCTGGGCAAATGGGGACTGAAGTTTGATGGGATTAGTCCTATTAGTCTCTTAGAAGATGGCTTGTCAAGCTGTGATCCTAATCCTCTGATGTTTGTAGCCTTTGAGCAGCTGCTCTTTTCTGTGGCTCTTATGCCTTTGGTGTTTTTGGCTGGGAAATAAAGGCCCGATAAAGAGCCATTTAATATTTTATTTTATTTTTCATCATTAGCAATACTTTGTAGAATCAACATAATCTGAATTTCAGTTACATCCATTTAGCTTCTACATTGAGTCATAGTTTAAAGTTTCAGCTTAGATATTCTAAAAGTGGAAAGGGCAGTTATTAGATTATTAATACAGTACATGTGTCTATTAGTTGTAACAATAGGTGCAAGTCAAAGCACCTTCCTTTTGTCATTAATGGATTTTGAATTATTGTAGATTAAGAAAAGAAAGAGATGAAGAACGTATTAAAAAATTTGTACAAGAAGAGGCTGTCAGATTCCTTTGGAACCAGGTAAACCCATTCCTGCTGATTTACCTAATGTGTGAACCAAGAAAAATTCTAGATTTATTGAGATAATCATAGAGTAGTCAGGCATATTGAGAAGTTTCTCAAGGTTAAGGATGTAATATGTGTTCTTTGCCACTAACTCTGAATTAGGACAGTGAATTTTGTTACATTTTATTTAAAGAAAAATATTGTCATAATTTTGACCAGAAAGATAAAGAACTGTAAAGGTGAAGGAAAGTGACTAAATTGAGGGATGTTATAACTTTCCAAGGGGTAGAAAATACTCAATTAAAAGTTTTCTCTAGCCATCTATCTTGTTTTACCTCTTGGGAATATTTGAATGAAAAGTGACTAAGATAGTATATGATGGCTCTGATATGCATGTCCTAAAATGTGCACATGACTTCTTGAGAGTTTAAATCCTCTAATAGCATACTTCAGGGACAGTTCGGACAATCAGTTTTACTTTTATTTTATCTCATCAAACATTTCTTTGATAATTTCTTAGAAATACTTTTATAAAAGAACTTGCTATAATAGGATTTTATCCATAAGATTAAGAAATAGTTATTGATTTCTAAGGTTTTATAATTACTAATATTAGGGGAGTAGTTAAATTATAGAATAACAATACCATGGAACATTATGGAACAATTAAAAAGAATAAGGTAGCAGTATGGACTGATGTAAAAAGTTCTCCAGAATAACATTGTTCAGTGAAAAACAGCAAGTTGCAGAACTTAAGGTTCTGCTTGATATTAAAAACTCTGTGTATATTTGAAAACATAGTAAAAGGTCTAGAAGGACATTTATCAAACTGCTGTCAGTGATTTTCTGGGAGGGTGGTCAAAGAGAAACTAAAAGATTCTATATATTGCTTTCTTCTTGCAGATTTAATTGTAAAATTTTGAGATTTTTTGATTGTACGTTAAAAATGTAAAGGTTATATTAGAAAGAACTCAGGGTACTTTTGGATATTTTAGAGTTGTATATGCTATATTGTTAGATAATATTTTAAAATTCTATCCTAAATGGATATCTACATTGAGATATTTATTTTAGAGAATCTACTTATTCTGGGCTCTAAAGTGTCTTATTCAATAGACTTCAGTTTCTATTGAGTACATTATTGACCCCTTAGTCACGGCCATTGTGCTTCTGTTTGTTTTTCTAGTAGTAACAAGAGAATAGCTTTGGCTCATCCTGACTCTCCTGGTGAGGACCTTTTGTTACCAAGAACATGTACCACTTGCACCAGCCTGGTTTAGGCTGGGATTGCTGTGGAAGGGATAAGGGGAGTCAGGCTGTTTCTAACTCCAGTTCTGCCATCTGCCATTTACCAACTTCATGAGTGTTGGGGGAAAAAGCTCAAAGAACATTGTAAAACAGGCATGATTTTTGTTTTATAATAAAATTATATCCTTTGGTTTACAGGTAAGGTCTCTACAAGCTTGGCAACAGATGGTGGATCAGCGTCTAAGTTCCTGGCATACTGATGTTCCTCCTGTATCAAGTACTCTAGTGCCCTCTAAACATCCATTATTCACCCAAAGTCAGGAGCCCTCTTCTGATCAAAATTCTGATTGGTTCATTGCTCCTGATGAGGCTCCTCAAGAGAAATCTTTACCAGAATTTCCAGACTCTGGTTTTCATTCTTCCCTAACAGACCAAGTTCACTGTTTGCAGGATTCTCTGGATTTTGAGAAAAGTTCCACAGAAGGCAGTGAAAGTTCCATAATGGGGAATTCCATTGACACAGTCAAATATGGCAAAGAGTCAGATACAGGGGATGTCATTGATGAACACAGTGAATGGAATAAGGAAAGCTTAAACAATGAGCAGGATAATAGTCTACTTGAGCAGTATTTAACTTCAGTTCAACAGCTAGAAGATGCTGATGAGAGGACAAATTTTGATGAAGGGACAGGAGATAGTAAGCTTGACATACCTTCTTCCCCTGAAAAGTTAGATGCCTTGTCTGATGGTGCTTCTGTAGATGATACTCATGGCATATCTCCTACTTTGCAAGATGAAATCAGCCAGGCACCAGAAAATTGTAAATTAAATGCTGAAGTTCAAGGGCAACAGTCAGACTGCGATTCTAAATTTCAGGTATTGCATGTTGGTATTACAGTGTAGCATGTGTGGTTGCTTGGGAGGAGAAAGTTTCTTAAGAATTTCAGTTGTCTTTTTTTTTTTTGTGAAGGGGAATATCACCCCATTTTTCTTACTATTTATATAGAATTTGTATTTTTATCTCATGTTTTCCATATTTTAGAGACTGGGCTGAATCTTCATTTTGATTTTATTAGCTATTAGCTGTAATCCGTCAAACAATATTTATGTTGAAAGCTATATGCACTTTATTTCCTAATAACTGAATTGCATCAACAGTGTTCTTGTTTTTTAATGTACTCATTTCCTTTCAAAAATAAACTAGAATATCTTTCAAGAAAATAGAACAGTTTACCTTAAAGATATAAATAAGAGAAGTTAGATTTTTCTGTATGTGAGGAAATTAATTATGCAGTAAGGAATGCAACTTGTTAAAGTGAGTGTAGATGACAAATATAAGGACTGTGAACTATAGAAATTTTTCCAGCCTCCTTGGAATACGAACATATATTTTTAAGCCTTTTGTCCTCCCTTATGAGTCAAGAAAAGCCTTCTTATGAGCAAATAGGGAGAAAAGGTAAGATTATAGGATTTTTCAGAGGAAATGAATATAATTGTCTCATGGAAAACTTTAATGCCATCTGTCAGTTTTAACATATGAAGTAAAGTGTTCCATCTGGAATTAAAATCAAGCTTACTTAAAGAGGCATGACTAGAATATCTCTTAAATGTGGAGAAAGCAGATGCTAGGCTCCATTTGCTTGGAATAATGTCACAGCAGACATTATCTTTTCATTCAGTGCTTTTTTACCCTACAGATAAGCATTTATGTGCCAACTTCCTTGCCAGAAATTAACGTATGTTCATCTTCTCTGACCCTGCATTATATTTGCTTATGTATTTCAGCAGAAGGTCCATGGCCATTTACTTCATATTTTGACCTCTGCTTCACAATGAAGAACATTTAAAATAATATAAATGGTAGAATATGACTTTTTAAAAGGACTATTTTCTATCCAAATCTCTGGAAAAGTGCCACATTTGGAAGGCAATTTAGTGGTGGTTAAAAAAAAAATAAACCTCACTTATTTCTTGTTAAGAAGAATATCTGTAACTTCAGGAAGAAATGATAATATTGTGTTGAATGTTATTGATGGATGCATTTGCAAATCAAGGAAGCTTAATAAATTAATCTTTGAGAATGTTGTAGTATCATTGAACAACATATATCTGATTTCCCCTAATCTTTGGACATACAACTATTTAAAACTATGGCAATACTTAAGTGTTCTAAATTTAGGTGCTAAATATCTATTCATTTTTCTGTTACAGTCACTAGATCCCTTTCTTCGAACTTATATAAAATAAAAACTTACGATCCTTCAAGAATAAAGTTGGGGATCACATGTTATACTTTGTTGATAGCTAGAAACTTTTCTCCGGTATGGGTAAGATGTATTTTTTTTGGTTTATAAATATGTAGCACTCAGGTTGGGAACACTTAGATTTCATTCTCAGAAATTCAGAGTCTCTTGAAAAGGAAATATTTTCTGTCTCTTATAAATGAAACAGCCGTCTTACATTCAAAATTTTCCGTACTGAAGCATGTGTAACGTTGAATGCACATTAAATAAAAATAGAATTTTTTACTTTTTGAATAATGCTAATTATCTTTTATGAATGATTTTGAATTTCTTCTTAAATATACCCTATTTTTCTATTTTACAGTTAAGTGCCTCATTTGCTGCCCATAGTTAGAAAAAACAACTTGCACTGCACTAAATACCAAAGTGCTGATTTATGGTACATTAATTTCTCATAAAAGTCCCTAAAATTTTGTGGTTCAGTATTACCTAAGTAGGTTTCTGCTGATATCTTCTCCCTCTTTTTCTAAGAAACGGCACAATACAACTAAATTCATTTGAATATTAGTGTTTGTCAGCAAGATTTCCTTTTTTAACTTTGCTTTGTTTTTCTAGCCAATAAATAATATTAGTATGCTTTTATTTTAAAATTGACAGTTTATGGTAATGGTTAATATTCTGCTCTTCATTAGATTTAACTTTACTAGTGTTTTGAAGTGGAAGAATATTCAGTTGCTCCCTACTGAACTGTATAGATTATTTTGAATGTAGGTAGAATGAAAATAATGTAAATTAGAATGCAGGAAAATTGTGGCATAGACAATATATTTTAATAAGTTTATAGTGTAATTTAAAATAACTTATGTAATTAAGTAAGATATTTGGTGTTATGTCATGGGCTATTCATTGGTCTGGCTAAAGAGAGAATGAATCTAGTAAAGTTTGGGAAGTTGAGCTTTAACATGGTCTTTGTGTTTTTTCTTATAGGAGAGGATTAGTTTAGCTGTGTTATTTTAGTTTGTATCAGTTTTCTTGTTATATAGAAAACTCAATATATCAATGAGATATTCCTCCAGAAGCACAGCATCTTACCATGTGAAAATTGGAAGGAATCTTAACAATTATCTATTCTAATCTCTTTGTTTTAAGGATGAAAAGGTATAGAGAATTAAGTGACTTGCTGATGTTATAGCTATTTAGTAGTAATAAACTGTGAAAACTTAAAAAGTTATTGTATTCCAAAATTTATTATTACACACTATTAATTATACATTTAGTGAGTCAGTAGGAAAATCTTTGCGTATTTTTCATTCTCTTTGAAAGATAAAAAAACTGACAGAGCTAGAATCCTACCACTTGAATAAAAATTGCCTGTAAATAATGACTAAGTTCAGAAGTCTGAGTAAATTTTCTCTAAGAAATGTGATATCATTAAAATCATTTTTTAAAGATTTTATTTATTTATTTGAGAGACAGAGTGAGAATGAGAGAGAGAGAGCATGAGAGGGGAGAGGTCAGCAGGAGAAGCAGGCTCCCTGCTGAGCAGGGAGCCTGATGTAGGACTCTGTCTATCTTGGGACTCCAGGATCACGACCTGAGCCGAAAGCAGTCGCTTAACCAACTGAGCCACCTAGGCGCCCATTAAAATGGTTTTTAAAGAGGACTTCTAGAGATTAAAAATTTAAAAGAATAATTGCATCTGGAATCCATTTATTTCATAACAAGAAGTGTAACAGGTTGCTAATTTTTTCTAGTGAAATCCTGAGTTTGTTTATATTTCTTCTTCAGTTTTACAGAACAACAGATGACAGAGTTTTAACTCTCTTGTTGTGCAGAAATGTCCAATCATGACGGTTGATATAAACACAATATAGTTTGGTTCTATAAGCTTAATTATGAAAGGCCTCATAATATGCATGTTTTAGGAAAATATTTAGCTACACACTGGTTTGCATATATGCAGATAACTTTATTCTTGAATAATGTGGGTGCCATTCTTGAGTGTGGACTTTTATTTTTGTTTTGGGTTATTTTAGATATGTAAACTCTGTAATAATATTTTCCTGTTATCTACTTAATGCAGTCTAGTTCCACTTTTTGTAAGTATTTTCAGATGTAACATGAGCTTAAGATATTATACTATCTCCTTGTTACTTTTTTTGGTGCAGATTCTTAGAATTGGATTTATAACAATATAAACTATAAAATTTTTTTTTCTGGAGTGAAGATGGCATATAGAACATGAGTCTGATCAGTTTCCCATTCATAAAACAAAAGACTTCATTTTTAATGTATATTTTTATTTTGTCATGTATCTTATTAATGACATTTATTATATTGTAATGTTTTAATTTTTAAATATATGATCCCTTTATTTATAAAGTAAAACAGAAAGGGTCTGTAAGGAACACTTAAATATGTTTAGTGATATTGCTTACACTGATCAAACCTACAGTGCCATATTAAAATTAAAAGTCAAGTAAACAAAACAGTTCTCATAACCTTAGAGTGAAACAGATAATTGTCTTCTTAAAATGAGGTGCTTTTTATTTGTGAATGAGTGGAAATCATATTACATTTTAATTCCTAAATTGATTTTAGTAGATAGCCAGGAATCTCTGTGTAGTGGCTTTGTTCATTTTCTAATTCAATTTCTTTGAGTATTTTGTAATAATTTTAATATTAACAAAAAGAGTTTAAAAGTAAATTTATTTTTGGGCTATTTTTAGATTTCTCTTTAATTTTGTCTTAGAAATAGATGATTTAAAGTGGTTATGGTCTGTTTTATGAAGGCTAAATATTTTGTATTATATTTAATTTGTATTTAATTTGTATTTGAGTCTAATTCTAAATAAAAAGTTTGTACATTTGTTTGAGTGATTAGTCTGTTTATTATAGTGGTTGGTAGTAATGGTTGTTACTCATTGTGATTGCAATTAGTGGTTAATTAAAATTCTAAGGAAGTTCCAGAGTATTGTTATATAAATGAGTTTACAATAGAATAGTCCTAGCCTTATGATAATAGATATGAAATGAAAGAAATGGTAATTTAGTAGTTTTATCTGGTATAGTTTTTATTACTTCCAGGTGATGCGTAGAGAAGAGCAGATATCCCTCACAGAGCACAGATGACACTGTCAGATACTGTTGAAACTGGGTGCTGAAAGTTAGGGAGTGAATGAGTAAATAGAGCACAAGCCTTCTCATTTGACCCAGTTGGGACCTATAGTTTGTTGGTGTTATGGACCAAATTGTATCCCCCGCTAAAATTTATAAGTTGAAGCCCTCCCAATGTGACTGTGTTTGGAGATAAGTACTTCAAGGAGATAATTAGGGTTAAGAAAGGTCAAAAAGAAGGGGTCTTAATCCAATAGGACTGGTATACCCTAGTAAGAAGAGGAAGAGATACAAGATATTCTTTGTGCATGCCTAGAGGAAATGCCACTTGAGGACACAGTGAGAAGGCAGCCATCTGCAAGCCAGGAAGAGAGAGCTCAACAAACCTGCTGAGATCCAGATCTTGGACTTCCAGTCCCTAAAGATAGGAGAAAATAAATTTGTATTGTTTAAGCCGCTTAATCAATGGTATTTTGTTATGGCAGCCTGAGCAGACTACTACAGCTGGTTAATCAAACTATTGATTAGGGCAGGGAATCCCAAATTATTTATATACCTTAAAAAATATTTATTGAGGGGCGCCTGGGTGGCTCAGTGGG